CTCAAAATCAAGAATTGGTTATATTAGCTGAAACCAGTTTGGCTCAGTGGATAGAGCATCAGCCTGCGGACTGAAAGGTCCCGGGTTCGATTCCAGTCAAGGGCATGTACCTTGGTTCCTGGCACATCCCCAGTAGGGGGTGTGCAAGAGGCAGCTGATAGATGATTCTCTCTCATCGATGTTTCTAACTCTCTGTCTCTCTTTCCTCTCTGTAAAAAATCAATAAAAATATATCATTAAAAAAAAGAATTGATTATATTAACAAATTAATGAAAAAAGGAACATAATGTGTTTTTTTAAGTTAATTATTCAGCCCCATAAAAAAACGTATTGCTATTATTTCAGCCTGCATATCACTAATAAATTAGAACAGAATAGAATATAGTATCCAACTATTTGAAATCTATCAGGATTATATTAATATAGTTTATAGTGATCTAAATTTTAATTCTGCAGAGAAATTAGTTTACATGAATTCTGACCCGGATCTAAAATTCAAATTCTTTGAAAGCTCCTTAAGTACAGCCATTGTAAAACTAAATATACTACAATCATGTTTTTAAAATATTATTTGCATATAAAATATGGTATATAGAAAAAAATAGAAGGAAATACGGAAATGTGACAATTATTGCTTTATTAGGTGGCAATATTAGGGTGGCCAGATTATGCGTGACTAACTTTTTAAACATTTCCTCATTGGTAGAATCATCTCTGAAAAAAGTAAGTTGGCTATATTTAATAACGATGTATTCCATACCCTAGTATTTGCATCAAAGTGACTGCATATAAGCAGCTTTCAAATAATTTGAATGTTAGATCCAGATCACAATTCATGTAAACTAAGGTTCTCTGCAGAATTAAATTTTCAGATTACCCCAGAACCGTGTTGACAAACTGCAGCTCGTGAACCACATGAGGCTCTTTGGCTTCTTGATTGTGGCTCTTCCACAAAATACCACGGCTTGGACAAGTCTATTTTGAAGAAGTGGCGTTAAAAGAAGTTTAAGTTTAAAAAATTTGGCTCTCCAGCGGCTGCCAGGCTGGGAGCGGTCAGGCCCGGAGCAGCAGCAGCCAAGCCCAGAGCAACTAGGTCGGGAGCGGCAGTGACCAGACCCGGAGCAGCTGGTTATGGAACGAACCAGAGCAACAGAGGCCAGGCCCTGAGCAGCCAGGCCAGGAACAGCTCGCTCCTCGCCTGCCCTGCCCCACGGCTGCTTCTCAGACATGGCTGGAAACTTTCGTGGGAACTTGAGGGTCTGCTGAATCAAGTGATAAAGGCTTAGATCTGGATGTGTTGAGTTAGTATAGGGCTGGGGTGTTGATCTGTGAGTGCCTTGGGTGGGGCCTGGATGAGGCTGGTGGACCTATTGGGAAATGTCTTTTGTGTGAAGTGTATCATTGGGCATGTGGAGGTATTATTGATTTGAGAAAATGCTAAGTAACTGATTTACTATCTGAAAAGGGATTTACTATTGGGGAAAGGGAGGGAAGAAGAGACTGAACATAAATTGCACCTATGGATGAGGACAATGGGGGATGGGGAGGGGGCAGAGAGTGGGGTGGGAACCTGGTGGAGGGGGGAAGAAATGAGGAACCTTTGTAATAATATGAACAATAAAGATTGATTAAAAAAAAAAAAAAAAGAAAAAGAAAAAAAAAAGAGGAAGTTATACTTTAAAATAAATAAATAAATAAATAAAAAATAAAAAATTTGGCTCTCAAAAGAAATTTCAGTCGTTGTACTTTGATATTTGGCTGTTGACTAATCAATTTGCCGAACATTGCCCTAGAGAAATCCTTATCTCATACAGAAAATTAAGAAACAATGTTGATTAAAAAGAGCAAGGAGAGAATACTAGTGTAAAACCACTCAGATCAAGGTTTAAAACATTAAATAATACTATATAAATATATACATAAGCAGTTAAAGCATAAGAACATATGCATAATAAATATAACTTTAGAAAATGGAAAGAAACGTTATATGAGGTTCCAATTGTATTTGTTTTACTTCTTTTTAAAAATCTGAAACAAATGTGGCAAACTTAAAAACTAACAAAGGAGCTGGATTTAAAAATGTACATTTTTTTTTCTATACACTTTCCATATGTTTGAGAAGTCAATTTAAAAAATATATATATATTTTTTATTGATTTTAGAAAGGAAGAGAGAGGGAGAGAGAGAGATAGAAACATCAGTGATGAGAGTGACTCATTGATTGGCTTCTTCCTGCACGATTGAGCCTGCAACCCAGGCATGTGCCCTGACTGAGTATTATAATAAATCATGACCTCCTGGTGCATAGGTCAGTGCTCAACCACTAAGCTATGGCCAGGCAGAAGTCAAATATTCCTACTCCAAAGGCAAAACAACAAAAGCAAAAAAAAAATAAGTGGGACAAGTATCTGCACAGCAAAGAAAAAGACATGACAAAATGAAAACACATTTCTCCTACTGAATGGGAGAAAATGTTTGCAAATTCTATTTTTGATAAGGAGTTAATATCCAAAATATATAAAGACCTCATGCAATTCAATAGCAAAAATAATCAGATTAAAAATGGCATATGATCTGAACATATATTTCTGCAAGGAAGATGTATAGATGGCCAGCAGGTACATGAAAGGGTCTTAATATCACTAATCACCGGGGAAATGTAAATCAAACCACAATGAGAATAGCACCCCATACCCGTTAGAATGCCTATTATTAAAAAAAGGTAAGAAATGCTGATACCGGTTTGGCTCAGTGGATAGAGCATTGGCCTGCGTACTGAAAGATCCCAGGTTCGATTCCCGTCAAGGGCATGTACCTTGGTTGTGGGCACATCCCCAGTAGGGGGTGTGCAGTAGGCAGCTGATCAATGTTTCCCTCTCATCGATGTTTCTAACTCTCTATCCCAATAAAATATAAAAAAAAAAAAAAAAAAGGCAAGAAATAAGTGTTGGCATGGATGCAGAGAAAAGGAAAACTTTTTGCACTGTTGGTGGGATTATAAATTGGTGCAGCCACTCTGAAAATCTTCAAAAAATTAAAAATAGAACTACCACATGACCCAGCAATGACATAACTGGGAATATATCCAAAGGATACAAAACATTAATTCAAAAAGGTATTTATACCCCCATGTTCAATGAAGTATCCTATATAATAAAAGCCCATCAAACAAACCATGGAACAAACAGAACGACCACTAAACCAGTTGCTATGACACCCACTGGCCACCAGGGGGCAGACATTCAATGCAGGAGCTGCCCCCTGGTGGTCAGTGAGCTCCTACAGTGAGAGTGCTACTTGGCAGACGAGGATGAGTGGCTACTCCCACAGCATGCCACGCCCCACACCAGTGCATGAATCCCGTGTATCAGGTCTCTAGTTATTATATTTATAATAGCCAAGATATGGAACAACAAAATGCCCATAAATGGATCAACAGATAAAGAAAATGTGGTATATGTATACAATGGAATATTATTTATCCATAAAAATAGAAGAAAATGTTGCCATTTGGAACTACATGGATGGACCTTGAGGGCATTATGCTAAGTGAAATAAGCCAGACAGAGAAACACAAATATCATATTATCTCTTTTATATGTGGAATCTAAACAAAACACAAACAGGCCAACACAAAGCTACCGAGAACAGACTGGTGATTTCGAGAATGAAAGGGAAGGGCAGCAGGAATAAATTAAGGCAGTCAAAAGGTACAAAATTCCAGCTATCCTATATAATAAAAGAGAAACATTTAAATTGACTGCACCACTGCAACGCTCACCAGCCAATCAGTAGTGAGTATGCAAATTAACCCAGCAAAGTTGGTGGGTTAATTTGCATACACAGGTACCAGGCAGAGAGCAGAGCAGGAGAGCTGGTGGAAAGTGGAGCAGCTTGGGAAACTTGGCTCCCCAAGCCATCAGATGGAGAGCAGAGAGGGAGAGCTGGCAGCTTGGAGGACCTTGGCAGAGCGGAGGCAGTGGGACAGAGACAGAGCAGGAAAGGAAACCAAGAGCGCAGGGAACACTAGGAATTCTGGGAGTAGTAGTTCTGGTGGCAGCACCAGGACCAGAAGTGGAAGCCCCAAGCACGGGGAGCATCAGAAATGCTGGGAATTGTAGTTCTGGTGGCAGATGGGTCTCCTAGACACTAGAGCAAAGTGAACCTGAAGCAAGTTACTGTTGTGGTAGGAGATGGAGAGAAAGCAAATATGAGAGACATAAATAAAATCAGTGTCTAGGAAAAATTAAAAGGAAGGTATCCTAAAACTTCCAGGAAATCTCTACCAATGAAGCAAAGGAAAAAAAAAAAAAAAAAAAAAAAAAAAAAAAGCCTCTATTATTCTGTGAGCAACAAACCAAACTGGGTTGGAGTCTCAGAAAATTGGCTCATATGATTGCAAAGACAGACAGAAACTCCCAGATTGGAGAGGGCTCCCCTGAGGGCTCCCAGATTGGAGAGGGTGCAGGTCAGGATGAAGGACCTACCCACCATGCACGAAGAAAAATATAAATTATGAAGATGTAATGTACAGCATGGTGACCATAGTTAATACTGTACTATATATTTCAAAGTTGCTAAAAGAATAAGTCTTAAAATGTTTCATCACAAAAAAATAAAATTTGTAATTATGTATGGTAATGAATGTTAACTAGACTTATCATTTTGCAATATATACAAATATTGAATCATTATGTTTTATACCTCAAACTAATGTTATATATTCCAAGTATATTTCTAAAAAAGATCAAATTTTTAAAAATTTTATTTTTGTTTCCAGATCCTGAGAAATAAACTATTATGCCTTAAGCTATCTTTGTTATAGGTAATATTTGCCTAGATATTTCTTTATCTTTGAGTTAAAAATATTAAGATGATTAAGATAGAATATATTCAATAACAAAACCCCACACATCATTACTATGAAATGTCCATAGTTCCTGAAAATAAAACAGTTCATTAAGAAAATACTCAGAAACTCTGTCAATTTTAGACCATACCTGGCCTTGCATTTCTGGTCTTACAGGATATGTATTTGTTGGGTAAGGTGCCCTAGGTCGGGCAGAGTTCCAGTAGTTGGAATTGTAGCTAGGATATGGTGGCTGCTCCTAAAACAAAAAAACAAAAGAGGAAAATAAATGCACTTTTACTAACATTGTTACATTATTCTGAAAGTTGATTGAGACAGATATAAGTTTCAAAAAAGAAGAAAAAGCACTAAACCCCTCTATAAAATCAATTATCAGATATATAATAAATATCACATGACCTTGAACAGGGGTGGGGAACCTTTTTTCTGCCAAGACCCATTAAGATATTTATAACATCATTCATGGGCCACACAAAATTATCAACTTAAAAATTAGCCTGCTATATTAGGTATAACATTTAATTAACTCACCCCTAATGCCTTGGCAGTGCCCGACCAAACAATATGGCCCATGGGCTGCATGTTTCCCACCCCCGTCCTAGAACAAAACAATATCGACTGTCAAGTAAAAACCTGTTCTTATGCACTATGTTAATACTACCAGACCATGCTGAAACCGGTTTGGCTCAGTGGATAGAGCGTCGATCTGTGGACTGAAAGGTCCCAGGTCAAGGGCATGTACCTTGGTTGCAGGCACGTCCCTGGTAGGGGGTGTGCAGGAGGCAGCTGGTCGATGGTTCTCTCTTGTCAATGTTTCTAGCTCTCTATTCCTCTCTCTTCCTCTGTAAAAAATCAATAAAATATGTTAAAAAATAAATAAAATCCATAAAAAATAATACTTCCAGACTAAATCCTATATAATAAGTGATAATATATAAATTGATCATCACTCCAACATATAAGATGGCTGACCCCATGTGGACACAAGATAGCCACCACAAGATGGCTAGCAGGGGAGGTTAGTTGTAGGCAATCAGGCCAGCAAGGGAGAGCAATTAGGAGCGACCAGATCTGCAGGGGAGGAAAGTTAGGGTTAACTGGGCAGGCAGGGGAGCAGTTAGGGATCAATCAGGCTGGCAGGAAGAAGTGGGTAGGGGCAATCAGGCAGGCAGCAGGTGAGTGGTTGGGAGCCAGCAGTCCTGGATTCTGAGAGGGATGTTGGGCCAGATTAGAAAGGTTGCAGGCTAGGCTGAGGGACAACCCCTCCCCATGCATGAATTTCATGAACCGGGTCTCTAGTGATATATAAAGGAATTTTACTATGTCAAGATGATTAGCAAAACCAGAAACATTAGATTCCTTTATCCCTCTCCAATCACTAACTCCATCAATAAGAAAATGTAATTAATGCATCAAAATTATAGTTCTTTGCCATTGTTAAGAAGGGTGGTATTCACTTATTTCAATAACTCTGGATCTTGAAAGTTATTACTAACTAATTATTACTAAACTTTACTTCAAATTTACTTTATTGAATTTTTAGTACTTCAAATACATAAAACTTCAATACTCAACTTCTTTGCCCGGCTACTCTTGTTTTTTCACATTCCTCTACACTCTGTTATGGCTCAGTTTTGTGCTGGCAACCTACAACTAACTTCATATCAGAAATTGCTATAAAACAATTTGGTTATTTTCTCCAAGGAGAAAATCTAGCTATGACATTAAGCTCTACAGCATTTAAGTCCAACTCAAAAAGATAATGTAATTATTTGCAATAAGCCAATAAACTCTGATGAGTCAATATCAACTCAAAATTTTTCAGTCTGGTTTAATCTATACATTTGTTACTCTATAAGCTGTTGTTGTGCTTTGAATTTTGTAGTTTAAATATAGTTTTAAGCTTAAACAGATCTTTAAGTTTTCCCAAAAAACTGTGAATAGAGTTTCACAAAGAAATTTACTGGCACTGTGATTACTGAAAGTTTAATTTTTACCATCTTGGCTTAATTACAATACTTAACAGTTTCATAAAATTGTTTCTAAAGCTTGTAATTATTCTCTATGACAGTATACAAACTGGGCAAGTAGCATCTCCTTTACATAATATAGAAAATAGAAAACAGCAAGATTAAAAAATGTTTCGAGCAAACTTCAGATCCTAACTACCAAATTTCTCAACCAGGCAAATTCCCTCGATTAATACATTTCCTTCCTTCTCCTGGTTAAAGGGGAGCATTTAACTAATTGACTTCTCTCCGCCAAGAATTTGAATCTTGAGCAGAGATGAAAAGACAAGTGTTGAAATTAACTCACTCCAGTGATGGTCAACTAATAACTTATTCCCCAGAACTATTTTGGTTTTTTCTTTCCTACCGATTCTCTGAGGTACTCCACATTTTTACTACCTCTCCACCCTCCCATTCTTCATGACACACGTGTCCTCATTTCCTTCCTTCCTTAATCCCTTGTCACTCTTTCCTTAGATATACCCTGTTTCCCCGAAAATAAGACAATGTCTTATATTAATTTTTGCTCCCAAAGATGCTCTAGGTCTTATTTTCAGGGGATGTCTTATTTTTCCATGAAGAAGAATACGGTGCATATTTATTGTTAAATGAAAATAAAGGAAATTTATTACCTGTATACGGTACGGTAGTACGGTAGTACAGTAGTTGTCAACACAAACCAGACAAACTGTGAATCCTACAGTGTCAAGAATTTACTCATTTATTCAATGACAATCATGTCATCATCTTCTGGAACATCATTATAACAATCCAATTCCTGAATTTCCTGGTGAATTTCTTGTGACTCCATTTCTTTCAGAATCAATGGATCAAATCTCTCATGTTTAGCAATAGCATTCTGAGACAGAACCTAGGGGGGGGGCCTTATTTTCGGGGAGATGCCTTATATTTCACTCAGAAGAAAACCTGTAAGTCAGTCTTATTTTCAGAGGATGTTTTATTTTCGGGGAAACACGGTACTCATTCTACAAACAAAACACCTAATCCAATATAAAACCAAGTTACCCACTGACTTCACATCTATATTTCATCTAAATATCTGGGGGAGGAAAACACAAGCTCTCTGATTTCACTATAAATTCATGACCACAAATTTCAGGTAGACAATCAGTACAGCCTAGCAACTATATTGCACTTCCTTTATGTTCATCACTTTCCTGAACAACCATTCTATTCTTGTCCCACCCTTCATTTTTCAACTGACAACTTTATCTCACATTTCATTTAAAATAAAATAAAGAGCTCTTCCGCTGGGGACTGGGTTCTTCCGTTGACACTAGACCACAGAAGTATAGGAGGATCCAAGATGGCTGCTCGGGTAGACATCTAGCCGCGGCAGCACACAACAATTTCAATGGAATACAACTAAAATGTAGAGTGGACATTGCCCAGAGCTACAGGTAGTCGACTGACTGAAATTTCTACAACAAGAAGGAAAGAGAAAACCAGAAAGAAAATCAGAGGAGCTGAAAAAAAGCCTAAGGTACGGAGACATGCTGCACGCGCCTGCCCGCCCACACGCGCACGGAGAGGTCGCAGCCGGAGAGGAGGAGAGGGCGGGGAGCCGCCTTTCCTTCCCTAGCAGGAAGGGAATAAAACCTCCAGCCTGGGCTGAACCCCCAAACCGGCAGCGCTGAGCCCCCCCGAACCAGCAGCGCTGAGCCCCAGTTATGGGCCAGACCCTGGGGACCCAGGCTCCGGCGGGAGGAGACAGGGCCATGAGGCGGAAAAACGGCGAAAGGCAGGGCCCTGGGAGTCGCGCGCAATGCGCGCAGAGGACTGAATGTTGACTCTGATGCTGGGTTACCCTAGCCGGAAGAAACAAGGCCTCCGGCGGCGCTGAGCCTCAGTCCGGACTGCTTCGAACCCCAGTTCTGGGCCAATCCCTGGGGACCCAGGCTCAGGCAGAGGGAGACGGGGCTGTGAGGTGGAGTCCCGGGAGAGCGGCGAAAGGCCGGGCCCCCGGGACTCGCGCAAACTGCGCGCAGAGGACAGTCTGTGGGACTCGCACAAACTGCGCGCAGAGGACAGTCTGTTGACTCTGATGCTGGACTTCTCTAGCGGGAAGGGGAGAAAAAAAGCTCCAGGCTGGGGGAACGCGGAGGGGAACGGAAGCCCCTGCCGGACTCCAGCCAACCGGGCACCAGCAAGGAGGCGGGCCACGGGGCCCCTGGGGGCGTGGGTGCCCCTGAGCCTTTGACCACTGAGCTCGGGCAATGGAGCCAAGGCCGGGGGCTGCTTCCTGGGCGGCGCCGTCCGGCAACAGGCTGAAGCAGCACAGGAGCCCGCGGAGAACAAAGGGGTGCCACAGGCCAACCTGCTGAGCTCCCAGGACAAGGAGGAAGAAACCAAAGAAGTTCTCAATGTGAAGAAATCAAGTGAGAGCAAAAAATAGTAAAATTACTTAAGAAAGAATACAAAGAAGTTCTTGAAAAAATCAAAGACTAAGTCAGAACTCAACTCACCAGCCAACATTGCAACATAAATGCGTTTTAAAAAGAAAAAAAAAAGGACAGAATGTTGGAACAGCGACGGCCAGGCCTAGAGTGGCCAGGCACAAGGCAGTGGCAGCCAGACCCGGAGCAGCAACGGCCAGGCCCCAGAACAACAGCAGCCAGAACCAGAGCATCAACAGCCAGCACTGGAGTAGCCAGACCTGGGGCAGTGGCAGCCAGGCATGAGGCGGAGGCGGCCAAGCCCAGGGTGGCCAGTCCAGGAACACCCAGACCCGGAGTGGCCGGGCCCGAAGAAGCCGGGCCCAGAGCAGCCGAGGTGGGAGCAGCCAGACCCAGAACAGCAGTAGCCAAGCCCAGAGCATCCAGGTCGGGAGTGGCCAGGCTCGGAGCGGCCGGGCCCGGGGCAGCCGGGCCCAGAGCAGCCGGGTCAGGTGCGGCCAGGCCCGGAGCAGCGGCTGCCGGGCTGGGAGCGGCCAGGCCCGGGGGAGCAGGCGGGTCGGGTGCGGCCAGGCCCGGAGCAGCGGCTGCCGGGCTGGGAGCGGCCAGGCCCGGGGGAGCAGGCGGGTCGGGTGCGGCCAGGCCCGGAGCAGCGGCTGCCGGGCTGGGAGCGGCCAGGCCCGGGGGAGCAGGCGGGTCGGGTGCGGCCAGGCCCGGAGCAGCGGCTGCCGGGCTGGGAGCGGCCAGGCCCGGGGGAGCAGGCGGGTCGGGTGCGGCCAGGCCCGGAGCAGCGGCTGCCGGGCTGGGAGCGGCCA